CTTGATGCGTATCGCAACTGGAGATCCGAAGAGCGCCTTCCTTGGTTATGCAGACAACCCCGAGGCCACCAAGAAGAAGATCCTTACCGATGTGTTTGCCAAAGGCGACGCCTTCTTCCGCTCCGGAGATCTTCTGAGTCTAGACAAAGATGGTGAGCGCGGTATGCAACGATGCGCGAAGCATGCTAGTGAAGCTGACAACCTCCGCTCGCCTGCGCCATCAGGATTCTACTGGTTTGGTGACCGCATCGGAGACACTTTCCGTTGGCGTTCTGAGAACGTCTCCACTGCAGAGGTGGCCACTGCTTTGGGAGAGGTGATCGACGAAGCGAACGTCTACGGTGTCCTGGTACCCAACCACGATGGACGTGCAGGATGCGCGGCTGTGCCCAAGAACATTGCAGCAACAATGGATCTGGCTAAACTTGCGCAGCACGCCAAGAAGCGTCTTCCAAAGTACGCTGTGCCGCTCTTCATCCGAGTGGTGCCCACCACGGAGAGCACTGGTACTGTCAAGCAGCTCAAGGTGGCGCTCAGAAACGAAGGTATCGAACACGAAAAATGCGGCAGCGACCCACTCTATTGGCTGCCGCCGTCTGCTGATGCCTACGTCCCCTTCAAGAAGTCGGACTTCGAAGCCATCGCTGCGGGCAAGATCAAGCTCTGAGTGCAGCTTTGCCCCTAGCACGACCTTCAACTTTGCTCTGACTGGCCGCAGTACCACGCGTCTTTGGCTCGAATTGGCAATCAATCTGCAGAACGAGATCGGAGCTGCTCCCCGTTCCTTACTTTGTGTCTTTTGGCATCCTCTCCCTCTCCACCAGGGATTCCAAAACGTTTTCCGAATGCATAGAATAATGATCTGCTGCGTCCTCTTGCGTGCGTGAGGATGCCCCAGCAATGGATGTGAACCAGATTGGGAGTGCAGCCTGTCACTTTGAGTCATTGCACACGTCGTAGGAGTGTGTAGGAAACGGCATCAGGCCAGAGAAGCTTTGCGCAGATCAGAGCATTGTGATCATGGGGCTTCATTCGTGATTCAAGATTCATGGTTGATGAGATTTACGATTGCAACGCAGCTCCATTTAGCAGTCACGTGCGAGCAATGTAGTGTTCTCTGTATAAATAAGCACTCACTGACTTCGTCTGCGCACAGACCAGCGTGAATGCACTATTGCACCCCCATCACCCAACATTGTACCACCCTAACCCCTCTGACAAGGATGCGATGTGTCGTGAGCAGTTCGCCCCTGCAGATTGTTCATTCGCCTCTGAATGCAGACGCACTACACCTTTGGGAGACGAGGGTGAAAAGCAGACTTAGCTTGCATGCAGCAGCATGGGCAGTCTGGAAGATCGCCTTCGAGCCTTGAGGAGCGCACACGCTTCGAAAGGTGCTGCTCAAACGCGCTCATCTGGCTCGACCTCTGCCCCGCAGCCTCTATGCTCGAATGACGAGAGCAGCGCTCTCCACGCTGGAAAGGACGCGACATCGGCAGATGCTCACGGCAACGAGCTGATGTCGCAGGGCAAGACGGGAGATGGCAATGAAGACGAGATTGAGGCCTTGATCCGACGCACGAGGGAGGAAGTCGAGCTGCGTCGACAGCATGGAGCGGAGGTGGATCAGGATGAGGTTGAAGATGATGAAGAGGATGATGTCGAAAGTGTCAGCGCATCAGATGAGGGGTTTCATCAGCTCGAGAGAGAGAGACTGAAGCGTTGTCTAGCGAAGCTCAGCAAGCCGTCAACGACCTCCGATCTCGAGGCGA